CCCTCGGCGCCGTCGCCGCCCTCCTCGCCCGCCTCCTCTCTTGTGTGTTGTGTTTTGCAGGTCGCTAACGCATGTAGCCCTGCGCAAAACGGACGAGGGTAAACGAATCGCAGCACACCACAGCTCAGCGGACGCTCGCAGGCTGGCCACGGGGAGGCGCGTAGTGAATGAGAAAACGAACAGGTTATCTTCTCATGCCGCACTGCCCTGACGGAAGACAACGCGAGCGTTACGATTGGCTTCACGTGCCTTCTCTGTGTCGGGCTTGTCATCAACGGAACTTTTAATACAGGTTTCTCAGTGATTTTCACTGGCATGTTGATAGTAAAGTACGAAGTAATACATATGACTAAGTTTTTCTAAACGATATGAAACACTAAGGATGCAAATTTTTCTAAAAAATTGCTGATGGGAAACATTTTCCTTATTCCAGTTTAACGTAAATGTAAAGATCAGCTTTTACGTTTTTCATAGAAACGTGCATTTCCATGTGAAATTGATGTGTCATTTAGATAAATTTTAATTGTATTACAGCTCTTAAATGCATTGTGACGCTGACCAGCTATGTGTTTCTGTCGGAGAATATTCTATAATAACGTATTTAATAATTTAGACATGTCGATTTCAATTTAAACAGGGTCCAAATGGTATATTTATTTGCTGTGGAGTCTCGATAGGGTCAGGAAGTTTCCGGTTAGTTTTCAGAAGTTGTGCGGTGTTCCTCCTACACTGAATGCCAGCAGTGAGAAAAATGAGCAAACGACGAACGTCAAATCATTGAACGTCTGAACGACTGTCAAAAGTTTCCGCGATCGCACCAACAATTGTAATCGCGACACATTGAGAGTTTTTATGTACGTCTTACGAAACTTCATTTTTAGTCTGTAGCACCAGCTTTGTGTGCCTCTCTTTGTTCAGGCGTATGTGTTTTCCCTTCCTTTCTACCGGCACACCTGACGAAAGGACGGCAAGACCCAGCCTTGTCTTCGCAAGCTCCGCATCTCCAGCAGAATGATGCTGCAAGCCCCTGAAACGTAGAAGATACTAAGGCACTGCATAGTGTTACAGGGATGGATGGCGTGATATCTTCAAATTTTATATCCAAGTAAATCACGCCCGAAAACGCACTCATACGGATTCCTCTTACTTTAGGACGTACCTAGGAGAGCAACCACGTAGAGGCAGAGACGTCTAATATGCTAGTTAAATCCATTATGTCGGGAATGATATAATTATTTCATTCTTAGTAATTGTAAATTTAAATCACGCGTTACATTTATTTTTTACTTTCAAGGGTCAATAATTACTATTGCTTTTAGGATCTCGAAGTACTTCCGAAGGGTATCATCTTGTACCTCAGCCGAGAAGCAATGTTGTGTTAAAGTTTAAAGCTTCCAGCAGCTGGGGAGCAAGGAGCGGCAGTGCCCCTTGACGGATAGGTGCATTTGCAGAGGACGCGCTCGTAAGCGGTGGCCCAGATGCCGTTTTTCCCGCTCCCCTGCAGTTCTTCCGATGGACCCAGCGCTCGACGTGGGATTTTCAGCTCTCCCATTCCCTATATGTTTACTTCATAATACGAAATTCTCTCCTTAGTATTGTTTTCTTATATTATATCTACTGTTCAGAAGATAATGACACAAAACGGACGAGACAGATACATGTTCTCTTAAAAGCAAAGTGGATAGAATGCTAGATAATAAAACTGAAGAGAATGGATAACACCCACCTATTTCGACTCTTTGAGTTAAATATTAAAAAGCAAATGGAGAGGATAGCCTCTGCGTGGATGTTGTGTCAGGTTGCTGTCAAAAGCAACCCATCTCGCAAGAAGCAAGTGAACTGAACATGACGGGTTCGATAACTATCGAATGAATGTTAACTGCCAATCAAAACAAGACAAAACGTAGTGCGTGCAAAAACTTCAGCACTGGACGAAGAAAGATACGAAGCCGTGGACAAGCTACTCTTGCAGTCTCGCCTTCATCCTCTATTTATCGTTCTTTTATTTCTCGCCCAACTTCTCTTGTGTTAACGGGGCTCGGTATGGCGGCATGGCGTCGCGCGACGGGGTATGTTGTGGCTTTTTGCAGTGTGCCCGATGTGGGATGTGATTTGTTGTCTCGAACTGCCGTAACGATTATAGAAACGGTTTTGCACGATGGCCAGCGCTGCTTTGTGAATTGCTTCGTCGGAGAGAAGGAACCTGTCACCGCTGCTCCAAATTGGCAAGAGAAGATCGGTCGATGTGACGTGAGCGGCGCTTAGGAACACAGTAGTTGCAAATGTACACTATAGAAAACTGTTCACTGCATTTCGGATTTATTGTGGATGGATGCCCAACCTAGTACAACATGCTTACTTATGCAAGCGGGCACCCAGGTACTAACTTTCGATGTCGAATATCAAAGGGTGTTTACAATCTTCTTCCTAGTGGTGCTCACGCGAAGGATATGATTGCTTCTCAGTATTCAGCACAGTTCACGACACCTTGCTCTTCACAGTCAAATCTCGAATCATCATTTGAATTGGCAAAAATTCGAAAGCAGTGTTAAAGGGAACGATCACTCTATTCTCAATCTTTGAAGACGGCAGATTTAGATGATGGGGGAAAGCCGAAGAACGTAGACCCGCTTCTTTTCCTATTTTTGTGTCCCGCACGACCGGATGGGTCACCACGGCCAACGTCGCGCACAGAGCGCAGGGGCGGATCGCAGAGCGGCTCGCTCGAAGCAAAGTCGGTTTGCTGGACGCGCTCGCAACGACAACCGTTCTACTATGCCAACAACAGGGCCGGGCCCGTCGCACAAGGTGCGCGCCTTTCGCGACCCTCCCTGCCCCCTGGCCCGCTGGCTACCTCAAACCCTCTCTTGCCCTAATTCCTCCTCACCTTTTTGCTCTTCCCCTAACAATTTCCTCTAGGCCCTTGCCCCTCTCCTTAATGTCGGCCCTCTCGCCCTCACCTCTCGTCCCCTCCGCCTTCTCGTCCTTTCGCCTCTCGTCCCCCTTCGCCCCTCTCGTTACCCTTCGCCCCTCCTCGTCC